AACGGCTGCAGTACAACGAGATTTATCCGTCCTCATCTGGTGAGATCGACCAACGAATCTCTTCTTCATGTACTTTGATACGAAATGAAGGTCCCCCATATTTACAATGCAATCTACTTTTAATAAAATGCTACCTAAGTTGCTTTCTCAACTGTGTTCTGAAAGAAAAGGGATCTATCGGACACATGATTAATTTAATCATTTTATTTTATATGGTTTTAACTTTTTCGCACAAAACTTCGGGCTTGATTGGGCCGGGAAACCGGAGAATCTCAGGCCAAACTCTGGGCAGATTAGCCCTCGCTTTTGTGCTATCGGTTGTAACTATCCTCTCTATTATTCCTCTTACGAGAGCTGTGGATATAGTTTGCTTTTGCCTGCGTGCTTTCCTCTTTCTGTGAATTTATTCTCATTTTTGTGATCATTGCTTGGAGTGCTTTGAGTGCATATTAACCGGAGATAAAAGGCAGAACAAAAAATGACTTTCCTTTCAGTGATAGGACAATTTTTAAGCTATTTACCCTCAGCTTGTTCCCGATCATCATATTTGGGTGGACAAGGTGTCATTCATAACAGGAACTATTTGCGCTTCTTCATCAATTGTGGCATTAACGCCTTCGAAGGAATGCTTTGAATAATTCATTGATTCGTATATTACCTTTAGTAATCCTCCTTACCTGCATCTTCCTTTGCCACCTGCCCATCCATTTTTCTCCTCTTTCTCCTCTTCCTCCTCTGGCTTGTACCAAATTGGTCTAACTGCCTGCTTTGTCTCCCTAAAGAAAAATGAAATGGGCCCAAAGAAAATCGAGGTGCTCGACATGAAACGGTCGAACGCGATAAACATTGGAATGAAAGTACTGCCTCCACTAAACACTATCAGCACGGCTCTGATCAAAATGGAGTCATCCATGATCAATCGAGAGGGAATTGAGGTGAGTAGTCAAGCTGCATGTTAGATCCACGCACAACTGCCACATATTAAAGTGATGTTCCCCATCTTCTTCTGCTTTTAAGAGTACCAAAGTTTACTTTTGGCTATTTGGTGCCTTTGTTGATACTTTTTTCCCAATCTGCCTCAATGAAATGAGCTGAAGGCGTCTTGACTTTCCATCGAGGCTAGGCCAAAGCTTAACATAACCTTGGTGTAGCCATCATTCGAACTCACAGCGTAAGGGTCCAGATACAAACACTGCTATGAAATACATGGTCGTAGCCCATTTGAACTCGGAATAGCCTTAGGGATACATGCCGTCTCCAAATTATCTTATACAAAGTAGGTCTTTTTTGAATTATTCTTTGAGGGGCCGACTGTCTGGCGGCGAAAGGTGCTTCTCTTAAAACGATAGTCTTGGATACTTTACGCATCACAGTTATTACAGCCAGCGGATTGGCATAATAAAATGCTACCCTCTATTGTTATAGTGGCACATTATGTAGTGGTCAATCTATAGCCCACTTGTAGGATTTGACCATCGTGTTTTTTTTCACCATCAGACTTTGCTTAGAATAAGTGCTGCTTTTATTTGGTAGGTAATCTCGTTTCGTAAAATGAACAGCAAAATATCATTGAACGCTCAATAATAGTCTCTTATATTTCTATCGTTTGTAATGGCTAGTCACCTAGGAACTTGAGATGAATCGTCATGGATCCGGCGAAGAGCTAGCTTACAGACTTTCTTCGTCATGCTCCACTCTACACAAGCATTTCTATCAGGCCGGAAATGTCAACAGACAATTTGACTTAGGTTTACACGGACTTTTCGTAAAAAACAGGCGCCAGCATTCTACACACTGTGGATGTTTGCTTAGTGAGCAGTGAGTAAAATCGCTGGTTAAATGAAGTATAAGTGAAGATGTACCGTGTTTCCGCATAAAGCTTAGTGAGCAAGAAATGCTTCCAAGTCTGCCGTCAGTTTTACACCGAATTAAAGTATAAGCCCCCAAAGGTGTCTTGTGTCTGGTGGAACAATATAGGCCTATTCCACTTTTCAATATTGGGACTAAATCAGATGAGTAAAGTTGACAATCTTCTGTCAACACTTGAAAAGTTTGCGCCGAAACTCAACCAAAAAAACATCCCGCACCGGCTAATGTTTGTCGTCTACCTAAAGACAACTATTTTACTGGATCCCTTCATACACGAAGTTTTTGCAAAGGCAGTAGGAACCTTCGCTGGGTGGCCTAATGCACAAGTTTATGGCTGATTAAGGTGAGACGATTACACGACCAATGGATTTGCCTATGAAAGAGATGAGTATCATTTTATACCATGGGCCCTGTCCGACTTTTCCAATCAGAAGAGACTCGGATGATAGGATAGCAGTTGCCATACTTCAGGTCTACGGGTGGTTACCCTGGCTTCTGTGATTTCATCGGATTTGGGGTATGGTCTTCAATTTTCGGCTTTTAGCAGCCTTCACTTAAAAAAACTACCCCAAACATATATGACTGGCTGAGCGAACAGTGGCATTGTTGAAACAAGCATATTGAGAAGGTTCGAGATCTGACTTTAACCATTATTTGTGCATTTTTATAGGGGCTTGGTTTACTTTGCTAGCACGTACTACAGGTCGTGAACCCTAACCGCAGACATACCATAACAAGGGGGAATTCTTGGTAACTTTCAACATAGTATCAATGTGGTTTACTAACGTCCCGGTTCAGGAAAATATTCAACCACTACCACTCAACCCAGACAAGCACCCGAATACTCTTAAGGTAGTAAATCTAGGCAAAATTTCAGTCTTAAGATTGCCAAATATATCCACGAGTAGCTCATACTTATCGATAGGGTTTATGAACGGATGCAAGCACTTTCCATGGGATCTTGTTTGGCACCCAGTTTGGCTAGTAATTACAGGTCATGAATAGAGGAATGGTTCATTAAATCGTGATTGGAGCCATCACCAAAAAAAGAACAACTAGTGCGGATGGACATCAACCCTTGATGATCGAGGACAGATGTTACATTCAGTTGTAATAAATATGTGCTGTCACTGTTGGTTTCATACATATAAGTACACATCTAGGTGCATAGGGCATAAACACACAGTCAAACACATATGACCTGAACTAACCAAATCACTTCGTGCCTCATCAAAATGCATTGATTCAGA